TGTGATACAGACTCTATTTTTATTACTTTTCTCTGTAAAATACAATAAAAGCATTGTGGTAAATATATAGCCAATTATCTGCAGTGGAAGGGAATACACCATCCATTGGCAAGGCTTTCAGGGGGAGGGAGCACCAAGTTCCAGCCTTGTCTTATCTTTCAGTGTGAGACAGACTGTGGCTCAGAATCTGCAGGAGCACAGACTTAAAAAACAAAGTATGAAGCGTGAAATGCAAAAAGCCAGTTATCCACCTGAAAAACACCTAAAAGAGCCAGAGGAACATCCCTGGGTGACTACAGCTGCTGCCTGGGTAAAGCACTTCGCAACAGAAAGGGATGGCTTTGGGTCTGAAAACATGGTATCCATAAAGCTCAAGTCAGGGGCAACATTACCACTGGCCACAGTGAGATCCAGGTTTCCTCCAATATGCTTTGAATTTACTCTTGGCTCTGTATTATAGCATCCAAAGAAAAACTGGTGATGTGCAAATGAACATGAAGGCAAAGCATAGCTGAAGTGGCTATAGCCACATTCACTGCAATAGCCCAGCTTTTGGGTAGCACAAGTCTTTTCATATAATATTTTATATTTCTTGACTATCTTTTGATGTCAGTCCTCGTTTTAGCCTATCAACTCCTATCAGAAGTGCCCTAAGATACATTTGGAAAGAACTACACATTGTGGGCATCATCACAGTACCTGTGACATTTCCTAGATGTATGGTCGGATTACATGGTCCATTTCTGCCACCTCCATTTCTCCTGCCACTCCTTGCCACAGAATTGGAGCCCAAGCATATGTCTTGAAACTTGGGCATTACCTCCAATGTTTCGAAAGGCCACAAAGCAAAAATCTGAAAACAGATCTAGCTTCTGGAGGTTTAGTGTTGATTCTGATGGACTGAAAGATATGAGATATTAATTATTTAAGGGTCACAAACCTCTGAACATTAGACAACAGGCAAATCAATTTCAGGAGAGTTGTATTTTCTTGATAGCAGTACTGATCTTTTGACTTACTGATGATTCTTAAAAATGTTTACTTTACGGATTCCAAATTCTAAACTTGATATAAATACCATGGCTGACATGTAGTAGTGTTATTTACTTCTCTGTGGGTAATGAGTCTTTGCTGTAGAAGTATACTTCAGGGTAATAACTAACAGTGGAGTAAGCAATGATCTCTTCCCATGCAACCTGTCTAGTCCTTTTGCATGCACAGAGCCTAAAAGAGGGGAGCAACTGAAGAAGTGATATTTCAAGAAGGGACAGGCTTTCAACCAGCCTGCAGCAGGGTAAGTTTGGCAAGGAAAGACCTAGAAAATTCCTGTCTAAAGCTTCAATATTAGCCTTTTCAGATTAAGAGGATTCAGATCTAATATTAAAAATAGATAAAACTATCCCTATTTGAGGGCTGTATCTTTCTCCACATCCATGAGATTCAGACTCTCATTTGCTGGAACCGCTGTCAGGGCTCTGGGCATCAAATTCTCTGAAATAGTTTTATAGCAAATTCAACACTGCTTTGAAAAAGTAAGTGGTGACTTCATAGGTCTTATGTGGTTTTGGGTAACAAACATCTTTTCAAAGCATGGATAGGACACCACTGACAAAAAAAACATTTAAACCAAGGTGAATTCTCTAGAAATGTTCACTTTTTACAAGAGTGTGTCATCTTGGTAGATGAGTACTTTGAATTAACTGGGTAGCTGAGGAATTTGGTGGAACATAAGGCAGAACATGAATTTTCCTGTAGTTTTGCATATATTAACATATCAAATTTGTGTTAAATAAAAGGCAAAATATTGAATCTGAGGCTCACATTAATGAAGAGCTCAACTGACAAGTCAATATATTTTGTCAGCTGAAGTGCAGTCAGCCCTCAAAGACCATTAGCTCATCATGATAAATAGCAGTTATTGAGATAAAAACTTGGTACTTTGAAGTAAATTTAAACCTGTGTAGTAAATTTAAACATTAATGTCATGAAAGTTTGACAGTGTATTCAAAAGAGTGCAACAAAATACTAATTCTGTATGTGAAGTTGGTACATGAACTTCTACAAGTAGCTACCCTTCATCATTTTTAAACACATCTCTATACAAACTAATTAGATATATTATCTTTACAGGAAAAACATACCCACAGAATCTCTGAGCTACTTCTAACAATGATTTAAGTTCCTTCTGTTGAACTGCTCTTAGTACAGACTTGCTAGCATTGATGCCAACAATGTCCATGATTTTCAAGTTTTTCCTGTCGTCCTCTGTTGAAGCAGAAATGAGCTCTCTCAAGAGTCCGATTATGCTATTCCAAAAAAAAAAAAAAAAAAAAGGGCTCTTCTCTTATTAAAAACAGAAACTTTCCTTCTCTCTTGAGGTCTGATATTTATGATCAAGCATTTCATGCCTACTTCCCTTGCCCTAATTCTGGTCATTTGCAACAATGCTGGTGTTAAGTGACTATGAAAGCCTAGTCTCTAAAGCAATCAGATTTTCAGGCTCTGTGCCCTACATCACATGGAATCATTTAGTACAGTACAATAGGAAATAAGACTACTATGCATAACAGTATTTCAGGGGTTGGGGGGGGGGGGGGGAGGGGGGGAGGAAGAAGTGTTGCTCACTGTTACAGTGTACCCAGCTGATTAAAAGCTGTGAATTGCGCCTTTAGGAATCAGTGGATTTTTGCATTTAGAAGCAGCAGCACAGAGAGGGAATGACCAAAATAACAGCACAGAGAGAAAATATACAGGGTAGCTCAAGCGCCTGGTCACACGGAAGTACTAACTTCCCAGATCTGGTTGATATAGGGCAGCAACTGTCTTTGCAGCTGGGATAAGCTGGGCTATGAGCAATCAGCAAAGTTCCATTACTGGCTAATGAGCCTAGCAAGCTGCTCCATCTCCTCTTCCCGCATAAAAACCTCAGGGCTCTGCTATCAGCCTCAGCATCTCCTTGTACCCAACATCTGTCATGACCTTTGCATACAAATAATAAAGAGGTTCAACAACATAAGGTTAAACTGAACCATGTAAAAATTGTGGACTAGCGAGATCCCTGCAGCTTCTTGTATCTGAAGTTCAGAGCTTACCTTAGAGTCATTTCCTTTGATGTTGCTGAAGTTGTAGAGGAAAGAAAAAAGGCTCAAGTCCCTCAGTTTTCCAAATGCAGTAAAAAGTGTTTGGATACACACTTTAATATATTTTCTGTGGCATTTTTGTAAAATACAGATACTTATAGATATAATGCATATATAGCATTTACTATATTGATAAAAAGATAGTCTTTTCACAATGACACACCAGTTAAGTATTTACAATATGATTCAAATTTAAAGGAACAAGTTTTTCAAACAATATTGTGTGGTTATATGATAAGAATAATTTGAGGAAAAATAAGAGACCAGTTCTAAAGAATTCCCAGGTGATGAAGCACATACTGTTGCCAGGAGTACCTCCATGAACATCCACGCACAAACTTCTTTTTTCCTTTGCAGGAACATGCATGATTTAGCTCTTCCACGTTTCTACCTAGTCACATCCTCTAGGATGACATGGAAAATTATCCTTTTTCAAGTACAGACTAATTGTACTATGCTTCTCATTTGAAGATTTATCCAACTGCAACATTCAAAGTTTTGGCTAGAGCACACACATTTCTTGTTAATTTAAACCAACAGAGCTATGACAATTCACATAACTAAAATGTTGCTCATCTTCTACACATCTTAGAACCCTTCCACAGATCACAAGTGTGAGGTTTTTGAACAGCATTTTTAGCATCGCATGGTTTTGCTAGAAGGTCTGCCTCAAATGACACTGCAATGCCAAAACTAGCAACAGACCTCTTTGTTACTCTCATATATGTACACTATCTAGGCATTCGTCTGCAATGTACTGTCCACAGTACAGTAGCTGTAAAGATGATCTCCATCTTCAATGTACTGTCACCCTTTCCTGTGAGGCAGAGAAGTGCTATTATCACATTTTACAAAAGAAAAAAGTTAGATACTGAGAGGCTGAGTGAATTGCCCAAGGTCACTTTGAGACAGCAAAGAAGCAAACCCACATATCAATTGCATCCTCCTGTCTTTCTAGCTTTGAATAAGAACTTCCTACGTGTCTTCTTTAACATAAACAAAAATGTAACTTATAGAAATAAAGCCTTCTCCTGGCACAGGCTTCAAGTACGCTGTGGTTTCTCTATTGTTCCCAAATACTAAAAGAAGATAGCGAGAGGACTGTTTCTGCATTCATTATCTCCTTCCCACTGAAGAAATATTAGCTGCAATGAGTCTTTCTTGAAGTGGGAGTGGTTGAGACCACTGTTTGCCAGAAAAGACATAGGAACTCTTGAGAAACATAATCCACCTTCACCAAAAAGAAAAAAAGAAAAATCTAACAGAGAAAGACATAAAATATGAAAGGCCTTATTCTCCTTCAATGCTGACCTGGGAAGAATTTTCAACTACATTTGTACCCACTTTATAATGCCTTTACATCACCTGCACAACATAAAGGAGACTTAGCACACTGTTGAAGATGACCTGTTCTCTCAAGCATGAAAATCTGCTTCACAACCTCCATGTTTCAGCTCTGACAGGAGGGTAGCTGAGAGGCAGCTTTTGCAGCAGGATGATACACACCAGGGCTGTGCAGGTGCAGATGAGGGCAGAAATTTCACCATGACAAGTGTCTACCCATGTCTTTGTCACTCTGGAGAAGCCTGGTCAGGAGCAGGTCAAGATCTCTGTTCTCACAAGCGCCACTGGGAAGTGAACCTTTCCAATTCCAGGGCAAAAACTTACTATGAAACAGAATAGCAGGGCGGCAGCTGCCACAAAGTTCTGCTTCCAGAAACACTTGCCAGAAAAGAAGATCATCTGCCTAATTGGTACAGGCAGTGTATTTATGAGCTATTGGGGGTGGAGGACTTTTTGCCTTTATTAAAAAAAAACAAAACAAAAAACAAAACCAAACACAAAAAAACCAAACAAAACCAAACACAACACACACAGAGATGGGTAAAATCAATAATGAAACTTCTCATCCTCCTTGCCTTCCCCCCCCCCCAAGCAAACCTGCATTTTCCTTTAAAAAAAGTAAAAATACAAAACCAAAGATACATTAGATTATCCTACTGTCCAGTAAATGTCTTATAGGCAATATTTATGCAGGAAAAAAAATGCATCAAGCCCTTCCTTTGACAAAAATTAAGCACACCGAAGTTCATTCTGTACTAAGGAATGCCTCTTCTTCTGCTGTCGGTTTAAATTACTCCGTTCACCACTATCTGAATACGCATTATTTATCTTCAAATACCTAATCATAAGTGTAGGCTAATGCTGAAAGAAAATCCTAGCAAGAATGATGTGCCATTGAAAAGCTGAAAACAGTGTATCATGAGAAGGCAAGCTAATCTTTCTGTTTACTTTGTAAATAATCCATTAGCTAAACTTCTATTTTAGGCTGGATGTTTGATTCTTAACACTTAAAAGTCCAAATACCCTTCATATCCCTTGTAACAGAGAAGAAACTTGTAAAATGCCTTTGGTGCATCAGCTTATCGTGTCAATGTTTTAAAAGAAACTCACTAGTACTCTAGGAAGTGTAAGTGGGCTTGTCTGTGTTGTTTAATACTCCAAGTGTTATTTCATTCTTTAAAGGGGTTAGAACAGAGGAGGGGGAAAGGGGAGGAAGTCTTACTTAATTTGTTGCATATGTCCCAACGTGTTATACAACTAAGGGTATTATACCAGAAAACTAAAGCAGTCTACGCCACAGAAAATTCTGTGTAACACAAAATAGGAGAATAATCTGGCCACAAGCAAGTCAAAAATTCAGTGAAACTTCCTCTCATATTATATATATACACACACTTTACAAGCTACACCGAGTGTCCTTTCATATTGCGAAAGAAATATATTGTAGATACCAACATACTGTACTTTTACTTAAAGGTTTCATCAAACCATATGTGCAGACACTTGAGAAGACGAGAGCGTTAAGCTTCCTAGGGTCCTAGAGTCAAAGAAATTCTGCTGCCCCCCACTGCTAAGTAAGTGCACTCCTTCCACAGGGGGCAACATCTGCCGATCCGTCATGGTTCCACTTGGTGAGGACCCCAAGAAACTTCCTTGGGAAGAAACAATTTTCTCAGGACTGGCAGCCAGTTTAGGGGATGTGGAAAAGTTATATCCATAGAGCGCACAGGGACTGTGCAGTCTAAATGTGTTGTAGGAGCCTTGGTGGGTTTGATTAGTGGTAAAGGCATTGCTGGATGGGGATGGCATGATGTACTGGAGCTGTGGAGACATCCCTGAAATCTGCATAGATAAGCCAGTCTGCGGGCAGCTGAATGCATCCCCGTCATTGCCACTCATAGACATATTCACAGTTGTGCTACTTGACACACCAACATAGGAGGGAGTCCTTGGGGGTGCAAATGTCTCACTGGTTTGATTTGTGAGCCTGTTGTAAGTTTCAGCCAAAGAAGTGCTGTATCTGTTCAGGGTCAAGCCTGACCGGGCACAAGCTGTGTAGTCAGCTGGAGCAAGGCTACAGAGCTGGCTAGTGTTGGGACTGAGGTGGAAGGCTGGAGATGAGCAAGGGGAACCCGGCAAAAGGTGAGGGTGGGTAGATGGCACTCCAGTGCCAGATCCCTGGAGCAAAGTAGAGGAACCTGCATTTCCTGGAAAAGAACATTACAGAGTAAGAAGCATGTTGGGAAAGGTTCACTTCCTAGGTGACAGAACAAGACCTTTGCCTTCTATAACAACCCTTGACATGAAACATGACTCACATTCATTCAAAAAATATTGTACACACATGGGGGGTGAGAGGGGATAGGGTGCATGGCACATGTGTATTTTTAAAGAAACAACCTGGCCAAGAAAGAGGACAGAAGTTATGCTTTTGCAACCACTGCTCAATACTGAGAGCTTCTGCCCAAAATATTAATTACTCATTGACACTGGAAGAGAATGGTATGGCAGTTAAGATGTAGCCAAGTTGAGTATCACACCCCAGGTAGCCTTCTTCAAGATGAAGACTTGTGTTGCTTATGCCCATGCTACACCCTGGAGTGCGTTTCAGGCACTATCACTGTCAGAGCACCAGCTAAGGAAGAGGATCCTTAGCTCAGGCTCCCACAGTTCAACAGCTTCAGGAAAGTTCACAACTTCGGAGTAGAACTTCAGAACAAAAAAACTTCCAACTTCAGATGAAAAATACTTGAGAACAAAACTTCAGAACAACTCCAGGAAAAGCATAGGCTGAGTACTGTGCACAGCTGCTTCGTTTCTTGAACAGGTAGGTGAAGATTAAGGTTTGCAGCAAGCTGTTTGCAAGCTGTTCATTTACTGATATCAGAACTTGATATCAGAATATAACAAATACCAGTGCTGAATGCTCCTGAAAACACACTGTTTGCTACAGGTGAAGCCTTTTCTCACGACTGAAAGACTACCAACTACAAGAAATACTTCCTTTTCTTAGATATTTCATCTCCCAAAAAAAGAGCACAGAAAACTAATTTGGGCTTTTCACAGTCTCTGAGGCAGAAGGCACTTAACAAGGAAGACTCTCCACTTTGTGAACCACGTTAACAATCAAACAATCAAAATCTCTGATGCTGCAAAGAGACACACACTGTTAGCAGGTTTTCGTGACAGCTGAGCTAATAAAAAGTGAAATACATCATAAGTGAACTCTGCCTCTGTTCTGTTGACAGGACACCACAAGCTCAAAGCACCATAAGACACTGCCACCTTACAGAAATACTGGTGTAAGGCATACTTATTATTCTTCTGATCTATGTCAGTGCCTCTACTACCTGAAAATGGCCACTTCCAGCACCAACAACCAGGACAAATTTCTAATGGGATCTTTCAGCAATTCTCTAAACCACCCTACTGTCCAAGATATAGGTGACTAAAGATTTCACATCCTCTGAACATCAACAGCAACTTCAACAAGCTCCTTAATGTCAGGCGACAGCAGAAATGGAAGCAGGAAGTTCATGGCAGCAGTTCCTCTACTCTCAAATAGTGTTGCTACATACAAAGAGGGCAGTACAGCTGGTCTGTCTCCTAGATGGGTTAACTTCATAGGGAGTTGCATTTTAGTCTGACAAGGTATTTCAGGTCTGATGCTGACTTCTCACTACAGGCCTTTTTTATGAGGATCATCTCACCCCCATGCTCTGCCCAAAATCCTGCCAACCTTCATCCAATGTATCTATGTCTTGGCACAAAAATTTTGTAATTGCCCACATCAAGCACTGATGCTGAAGATTTCTCAAAGGAGTGGGCTAAGGAGAAGTTGACAACAGCAATTTCTGTGTATTACTGTATTTTCTAGATTTTTGCTGTGAAGATATTTAGCGACTTTGCAATATATTATCAAGAAAGCAGGTAGGATGTTTGTAAATCTGATAGTAGAAAATGTGAAGAACCAGGAATAATGTGTCTGATTTAGTTGGGCAAAGGCCAAGAGGTTTTCTATATGCGTTGGGGTACTTTGGAAATAAAGGAATTGAGAAAAGAGTTCAGAGACATATCTGTCTGTCTGAACAGGCTTCTTGCACAGCACTACCTCTATGATGGTGAAAGTGGAAACCAAGAGGTTACAAACTGGGGAGCAGGAAAAAGCAAAATGGAAGGAGGTCCAATTTTTCAAGCTCTAGGATGCAGCTAAAGTTTGTTTGGACTTTACTGAACAATTTTTAGGTCTTTAAGAATCAAGAAAGCCTTCCAAGAAAGAAACTCAATTAAGCTTGCTCCTATTTGCTACTATTACTTAAGAGGATATTTCTTCTCTCATTCTTTCTTTTCTCTTAAACACACAAGTAATTCCTACATTGGAGTTTGAATGTGTACAATAGAAGTGATCTATAAATAAACTTTACTTTGTGTATCTAGCCACAGCATAACACTAAGGAATAGGTTATTCCATCATTAAATAACTGGAGCTCTCCTTCACAAGTGATTGATTTATCTTTAAAACGTAGTATTTTTATTGCCTCAGCTGGTAAGTTAGCATTAGTTTTCTACCTTAAAATAACTCATGAGAGGTGATGGCCTGCACTGGGGTTGGTTGACTGCTTTTTCTCTGCAAGAGACACAATTACCTAGAGTTTTGTATAGCATAATGGGCAAAGCTTTATCTTAATGTTTTTTTGTTTTAAAAGAATATGAAAAAGACAGTTACCTTGTTTGGGTATCCCAGGTATATCTTCAAAGGTCAGTGTTCTCAGTGAAGGTCTCCAGAACGCATAAGACTCTACCAAAGCTTCCAGTCCCATTCTATTTAGAATAAAAACATGATGGCATCATGAAAGCAAACTGTATTATGTCATGTGTCTCTGGATACTTTACCTCAGAAACACTGGTACCATTTCAGGATTATTTTGAAGATTATTTTGATTTTTAAAAAAGAGCCTTACATCCTTATCCATGAGATCACTGTGATCTGCAGCTGCTGGGCTGGCAGCAGGCAAAGAGTTTTACAATTCCTCAAGTCTGGCTCTCTATTTCAACAGCTTTTGCCTTTTGGGGAGGGTTGTTTGAGCAGGGAGACTTGGCTAAAATGATGTTAGATGTTTTCCTAGTATGACATTTCCTTAAGAGCAACTGCTCTAACTGCCAGAGGGACGATCTCCTGTTTCTGCCTGGAACAAATGTGATCCACTAACAACTTCTATTAAAACAGGATTCTCAGTTTTACCAATGAGTGGGAAAAATCACACTTACAAGCATGGGTGTTCAGCTTTTTGCTATGAACATGTATAAAACTGTGTTGTGACTTGATTACTATGTGCCTTTGGAAATTAAAAATTTTCTGTCATTTTCTTTCAAAAGCATTGTGAAGAAACAGAAACAACTGGGCAGACAGTCATGGCAGACAGTATTTAGAAGGATTTCTATTTCCTGAAGGTAAAGGCTCGTTTGTTTTCTGACATAATTTTATGAATAATGCACCTCAGAGGTATAATTTTGCTGTTATTTTTGGCTCCTGGGGCCCAAAGGCTTGTTAAGTGTCAGCATCAGGCACACACCAAATACAAGTGCTTCCCTTTGAGCAGCAGCACTCTGTAAACTCGAATTATGCAAATAGTCCGACCTGAAACTACCAACATGTTCTTCTGATACTCCTTCTTACCCACTGCATTTCCAGCAGGATCACAAATGTATGTCAGGAAACATTTATAAAGTATTTATTAGCTGAACCTGGACTAAAAAGATAGCCTTCATTTTCAGCAGTAATGGTGAATTTTCATTTCTAGTTAAAGTGGAGATAAAAGCTACCTCCTGGAGGAGTGTAGCCAAGGCGATAATTTATACAAGATGCCTTCGAACAATTTCCACATTTTATCACCACCCTAATTTATGCTATCAAACGGCCAAGTTTATTTAAGAAAACAGTTATGTTTTTCCTGAAGTATTTAAAGGGAAAATTTCTGGTCCTTTCCCGAGTAAAAGTTTTTATAGGGTCAAACTTAAGGCCTAACTGAAGAATGAAACTATTCTCAGCACATAAATTCTGTTGCACTTTGCAAATGCACGGGGAATGCTTTTAAAAGGTGAAGCTACTGATTTCTGTAAAATAGCCTGTGGGACTGAACAGGAATGATCTGAAAGGGAATATTTTTAGTTAAACAGAATTAGCGCATGCAGCAGTGCTGAGTAAGGTATCTGCCATAATTAAAGCAACATTAAAAAGTTGGATATAATGGTACCACAGCACTGTTTTTCCAGTTTTGTTGCTGACTACAATGCCTCAGTAATAAATATACCAGCTAGAACAATGAAGAAAATGGAATCTTAGCATTTAATTTCAGTATTTTGTAATAGAGTAAAATAAAAATGAAACAAGTAAAACCTGTAATTTAAATTTAAAAATTAATTCTGCTCAACAATTAGAACTCTGGGCTGCATTCCCAAACACGCTTATTTAGTACCACAGAGACTATCAAATAAAACAGCAATACTGGCTGCAGTAACCCAACGCCAGTTTGCAACAGAGAAGAGTTTGCAGAGTCACTTCCATAACCAGTGTGTTTGTAAAATATTTCAGAACTGGCTTTAGATGAGGTCTTAATGCTTTTAGTGTAACAGAGGCTGTCCCTTCCTACAGGACTGGTCATCTAATCCATTGTCTCTCAATTAAAATATCCTGCTTTTTTTCTAATGCCCAAACCAAACTTATTCCTAGCAGACAAACAAAAAACCCTCTCTGGATATCCTTGCTAGGGAGCAGCAAATGCAGAGTGCAATCTGAAAAGATACTTACAGTGAATTCTTGTAAATCTTTATAACTACCCCACCCCTTCTATAACTGTTCATCCTCTAAAAAACTACTCTGATTTGCTGTCTAGTTTCAGCATTTATGTAACTAGGGTGGAAGCACAAAACAGGCTTTAATGCTGCAGTCTCTGCTAAAAGAGAAGATCATTAAAGCAGCTACCAAAAGATACTCTCTGAACATTCCTACCAGCTCCCTTCTCTGCAAAGCTAGGTCATAAATATAGCAGCTGTAGACACTAAACATGATGTGGTCACTGGAACTGATGTATAGTAAGTACAACAATTAAATGCTGCTTTTTTTAGCTGAAATGATTTAGCATACAATTCATAACAAGCTTATGTATTTTGCATTAAACAGGCTTTGGATAAAATAGCTCATCAGTGCTGCCAGCAGGGACTAGACCCAAGTCTCCACTTTGCACACTCAGATTCCCATTGCTATTGGAAGATTCATGAATCAAGAGAGAGCAAGCAATTAATCAGTCCAACTGCAATAGAAGAGGTGGAAACCAGGCTTATTTCAAGGCCAGCTATAGCCTCGTAGGAAAGGCATTCACCTAGGAAGTGGATTTAAAACTCCTTAGTCTAAGGAGATACTTGAACACAGGTGTCCTAGCTTCTAGACAAGTGTACTGAACATAAGGTTACTGCATGACAGAACTTGCTTTCTTCCCCTTGAAGGGAAAACAACAAGCCATTCATCCATTCTAAATGCCACTTACAAGCAAGGGAATCTGGGCTTACAGTTTGACACTGGTATCTGCAGTTTCTCTCTCCAGCCAGGAGAAAGAGGAGATTTCAGAAGCAGCCTGAAATCACAGAGCTGAGTATGTATTAATTTCATTTGCAGCCTTCACAGGATGCTGCCGCTACCACCAAAAGGAAACTTGAGTACATGAGTCAAGCTGAGTGCCAACCCCTTCTTGACCTAGATGGTCAGAGGAGTAGGAGCAGGAGCCCACCACAGAGAACGTTACTGGGAAGCCTAAGCACTTCCTCAAGGAGTCTAAGCCCTCAGACAGATCTGCCTGTAAACACAGGTGCTCCCCTCAACCAGCCTTCACAAACCAACTGTGCCAGCAGTAACAAGGCCACCTCTTTCCCCAGCACCTACCTGTTACGTCCCGAATCTCTAAAGCCTTTGGCAAACGGATTCCTATCAATCTTCAGACGAGTTATCTGTGAAGATGAGTAGAGATATCATTACCTGCAAATTCATCTACATAATACACAAAATTACTTTCCTGACAGAATTAAGCTGGCAGTGGAATAGAAGCACCTTGACATTTGCATGGTTTAAGATGGTTGTCCTGAAACACAGCAGAATAAGGGCCAGCCTTCCCATCATTGTTTCTGCAAATCCCCAGAGAAACTAAGTATTTAATGCTACCGAATGGCAGGCTGGAATAGTTGAGATCTTCTAGCAAATGTCTTTCTTCACATAAGATAGTACACTGCTTAGCTGCAATAAAATTATATTAACTTTTATTTCTGTACAGGTCAAGATGGAAATCTGAAAGAGATTATCTCTAGGCTATTATCCTCCACAAAAAAAAACAGCACACCCCCCCCCACAACACTTGTAATTTAATTAAATAAATGGGATAGGTGTCAAATAATTATACTTCAGTATTTACATGTCTCTGTTCTCCTTGTAAAGACAGCATATTTCCTAAAATAGATCTGCAATTACTTCCATGGAATTAATAAGATGTCACAATGCTAACTAACTAAGGTGTCACTACGTATGTTAGTACTTAAACAAGAGCTAATAAGGGACAAAGACTGGAGTGATACAACCTGTATTTTACTTTTGACTTAGAATCTCTGTGAACAGAGATAAACTGCAATTAACAAAAAATGCTGACTGCAACTTTCTTTAGACCTCAGCTTTTTTGTTAAGCTCCTGGGAGTTTTGAAATCACTGGAGTCAGGAGCAAAGGTGCTTTAAAAATTGTATCCAGATATGTATCCACACTTAAAGGTACAAAAAACACCTCTGAAAATTAGACTGCTCTTCACCTTGTGTTTCAATGTTGTATTTATAATTGAGACACTATGAACTATGTGTATGTATTAGACTGTGCAATCCCCATAACAAGAATGGCTTTTCTAATGCAGCATCTAGCCCACATGGCCTAAAGTCTCAGCTATAGCCTCCAGGCACTGCTACGATACTACTAGTGAAAGCTACTTCTAGCACAAAAAGTGTTTAGGCAATGCTTTTTAATAGGTGGTATAATAAAAGTATCCACTTTTCTTTTACTCGGTGAGCATCTCACATTAAAAGTGAGAATCTCTCACTTTTTACCTCTTACTTCCTTGGTCTACTCTGAAAAGCCTATAAAGTGTTAAGCAGAAAGTCAAAGTTACCTGTTGATTTTGGTATGCTGTGACAGTAGTGAAAACTGTCTCTGGAAAGGAGAAGGCTTTCACCCCTTCTCCTGAAGGGACAGGCTTGACGGGCGACAGATCATCTCCACAGTCTTTTCGGATGACATGGACACGAGGCTGATACTTATGCATAGAGTGTAGGATAATCTATGTGGTCATTAAAGAAAAGAGATAACACTTATTAGAAAGGAAACCCTGCTGTTTCAGGACTAATAGCTTTTTGGAACAGGTTATGGTATGTGTTTACCATGCCACTTACTGGAAATCAGATGTTTTCTTTAACCTATGAAGGTTCTTATTACAGTAGTCTAATCCCTGTGCGTTCATGTTATTGCCAACTCTAAGCATTTAAAAATTACGACTCAAGAGGTCCAAATTCAGGGACTGGCTCAATCGAGACTGGCTCAAAAGGAAAAAAAAAAAAAAAAAATCAGGAGTGAAGTCCTGATCCCACTGGAATTAGTAAAGTTTTGTCACTGTTTTCCACTGGAGCCTGGATTTGATTTAACAGGATTAACAGCAGCAGCATTTGCTTTATGGTTTTGGAACCTTCAGGATGTGCTTGAAGCATTTTTTTTTTCTTGATATACCAAAGAGATATCCTGGAAATGTCCCCTGTTTTGAACACAAGCTGAAACTCTCACACGCTGAAGCCACAGAAGCTTAGAGTAAAATAATACTTAAATCCAAAACTCTAAAGTGTTAATAACCCTAGATTTATAATACAGGCAATGAGTATCAATACACAAACTCTTCCAGGCATACATAAACTCAATTAAGAATAAACTATAAATGAACTCACAGTATATAAAATTATACACAAAAATACCTCTTGGTGTTGCTCCGAAATTTTAGATGAGATTTAAAATACAGAATGTTTCCTCTGTTTTACTCCACTTCAGCTAACCACTACTAAAATAGAAGACTTCAAGGAAAAATAATAATTGGAAGCTCAACTATTATTGTTGGAAGGCCTGAGAAATTAGTAACTTGATAAATAAATAGTCTATGGCTACTGGCCTGTGGAACCACTAATCAACATTCAGGAGAAGCTTTTTAATTTCCTGCTCCTTGAGTAGTAGCCTCAGAATGTGCATATACTCAGGCACTCGACAGAGCCCCTATGCCAGACACTGTGAAAGTTCATTCATCCAAATGACATAGAGGACATTACGTCCATTTGAATAAACTAGAGTTTGGCTAGTTTAATACAGCTGGTGCTGGCCAGGTGACATGACCCCAGTATGGGTAAGCCAAGTTCCTGTATAATCACAGGGTTTATTAACCTGTAAGTAAGGTTTTGACAATGACATCACAGGCTCCAATTAATTTGCTCAGGGAGTGCCCTACGGATGTTCTCATATGAAGCCTTTTCCCAGTTTCTGAAATCTTGCACAGAGCAAGATTTTTATCATGCGAATGTGTATTCCCTTTTACAACACTTCTCTGCTGGCAAAGATCTACAAAATGAAAATGCAGAGAGGACAGCACATTCCTGACACTGTTTTCCTGTGAACACCCAGTGATACCAGGGGATATACTGGTGTAACAGGAGGAAAAGTGATCAAGGAAAACTCTGTTCCACTGTCCAAACTCACCTCTGTTCTGTGCCTTGCCATTTGCCTGGCTGCCACTGAGCGTGCCATGTTCTGCTCCCAGACAGATTATGTCACCTCATCAGCTCTGCGGTGCAAACTATCAGTTCCCTGCACAGCGGACTTAACTGTACACAATGATAACCCAAGCAACTCTGCTCATGTATCAGAACAAGTGAAGTCACAGCAGCACAGACATGAACACCTCCCAGTCCTTATCTGGGTGGCTATTACAGCTAAACTGATCCTTTTCATCTCCTAAGAGCAACCTGGTTTGGCTCTGTGCTACACTGAAATTTCTTGCACTGACACACCACTAGATGATTAGCAGATCCATAGCAAGAGTTTTTTGCTTCTTGATGTTGTACCACATCCTGTAGAATAATACCTTTGTTAACTATTAGGACTCTGAATTCTAAATAAGTAATACATAACCGTAGAGCCCTGGTGAATTAAAAAGCAACACTATGAAGATAGGACATAAAAGGAGAGGGAGCTGCAACACCCTCTCCCAAAACTGTTTAGTTCTATTACTCTAAGCATCACCTAAAGCTATGCGAAGAAAAAGCTAAGGAAAAGGAGATCATGGCTTTTCATTCTGTAGTGCTTGCTCATTTCACAGCACAAATGGGATTGAACAGTTTATTTGCAGAAGCAGCAATTTTCCCCCTTTACCCTTAGAAGCCAACAAAAGAAAACCCCCAACAGGTCCCACAAAACATTAACTGGAATTAGCTTCAACTCACAGTTGAAAAACCTGCCTCTCTCTACAAATCCCTAACAGGAAAAGACCAAAACATTTGTTGGGGAATAAACCTCTCCTGCCAAAGGTAAAATTACACTTTGATCACAGCACTTTGACCACAGCATCATTACTCAATGAAAGGCACAGGTAGGCCAGCAGAGCAAGGCAACAGCCTGACAGAGCAAAGGCGGCCAAAGTACCTGCAGACACACAGAGGTGGGATCACTTTCAAACCATGGCTTTTCAGAGGTGCTGCTGTGATGAGACCTCAGAGCTCACCCTGAGCTTGGGCACTGCTGTAGCACTGCCATCACAGCCAGAACAAGCAAGAGCCCAGTACTCTTTCATGGGGGAAATGCCAATCCCACAGCAGCTCATGGACCACAAAGTCACCTCCCCACCACCAGTCTGATCTTCACCTCAGTGCTGGTTTTGCCCAAAATCCTTCTTTACTCTCCCTGCAAAGCCCATGCATTCCTGCTTTCTGCAGTTAGGGGAGCGTGTAGGGCTAAGAAGCACAGATTCCCTCTTCATAAAAGACAAAAACTGCAAGTGCAAATGCTGATGTTTCCCAGCTTTTCATTGTGACAAAAACATATAACTACCCATTGACTGTAAGCAAAGCTCTCTACTTGGACCCAAGTCTGGGCAGAGTAACAGTCCGCCTCTTCTTCCAGCCTCACCCCACTTTCAAATGGGAAAAAAAAAAACCATACCCAACCACCAAGGAACAATTAACAGGCTAACAGACTCATTTTCACTAAAAGTTAAAAGATGTTCTATTGCATCAAAAAATACTTAGTTGGAAAGCATGGAAAAGAGCATCAAAAATACTGACTTTTCCTCTCTGCTGAAATTCGGATTAAAAACTGCATCGAAACAGAAGAATCAGCCAGCTCTAACCAGCTGGAGGGAAAGACAGCTTTTATAATGCAGCACTTACTCCACAGATGAGAGGGGAATGAGAGGCATTCACAAAAAGTGACCACAGCATTCACTCCTCAGTGTCAACTGCAAAATGCAGGTTTACTTTTCCTCACCATCACAACTCAAATGAATGACATAAATGCTACAGTATGTGTCTTAATGCCTTCATAAGCACACAATCTTTCCAAAGCAGGGAATTCACCCTGAGACTCCTTTTTGAGATCAAACACACACAAGGAAAACATATCCTTACAAAATTTGCTTAATCTCCTCAGCCTGCAAGTGGAACCCATGTATCAGAGAGTGTCCTACGTGCAGATGTACTTCAAAAATCTCTCTGCAGAACAGCTCTCTAAAATTACATCGTCACAAACTCCCACTCAAAATACTGATGAAAATAGCAGCAGGCAGCAAGGAGCCCAGAAAGCATTCAAGCAGCGAAAAAAGTCATCTTGGAGATGACTGATCTCCTTTCACCAGAAGCTAATCCCAGGGCAATGCAACGCAAGGGGAGCTGGCTGCCATGAACTACTATCACAGTATAAACACTGCACAGAAATACTACCTTAATGTCTATTTGCAAATACTGTCCCCATTCCCATGAACATGGGTCGCTTCTCTCACCGATTCTGAAAGTTAGTACTCAGGAACCGAATCATCGAACAGGTAAAAGGGCTCCCGTGGAGCTCTCTGTGAGCTCCTTACCTCAGTGCCTGCAAGATCAAAACCTAGCCCTGGGATTTTAACACAAAAATTCTGCAAAACCTATCATGTTTGAGGAGCACAGGAAGAATAAAGGAACAATTTCAACATGGATTAAAGCCCCAGAACCAGACAGAACAGAAAGCACACCCCAAGAACAGCTAAAGCCCTACTGGAGGAGTGACGGCAAAGTGCAGAGACCCCACCGAGGTTTATCTGAGCCGCTCTGCCTAAGCGGAAGAAGATAACAAAACCAACTTCCTAATAACCTAAAATACACTCCATCACCCATACAGGGTGGGAGAGTCAGAATACTTGATGTAAAAGCTAATATTCGAGGTACAGCCTTGACCCCTTGCTCTTCTAATCCCTCATCCCTTCCCTGGTACCCTCTTGAGAAAAATGGTTCCTTCCTGCTCATGAGAAACAATTGGGTTTCTTTATATTCATCGCAAAATATGATTATTCATTTTCCATTATTGCTAGAGGCATTCAGAGGCTACATAGCTCTTTCAATACAGCATTCCACACTACCATAGCTTTAAAAGAAAAAATGTACCCATTGGAAGAGACACTTTTCTGTTTTCTGCTTTTGCCTTTTCTGGTAATTTTGAATGACATGTTTGCAATTTCCAAGATCTGAGAAATATGAAATTATTTTACAGTCCTCCTTCTTTTGTCCTTTTAATACTTAAATTTCCATTCTGGGGAAGAGGGGCACTGCTGTAGCTCTGAATCAGTTCAATGTGTCTCAAATCACTGTACTAGGGCTTAGCATCACTAGTTTCCAAATCGAAACACTTAACTAAAGGCCAGAAAATTTATATCCCCCCACATTATTAAATAATGGTGTGCTGTGTACACTACACAGGTTTCAGTTCAGAATGAAAACAAAGCTAAGATCTGGGATGGAAAAAACACAGCAATACCATTCTCTACATAGCTGAAATTTTATCACAGAGCAGTTTGGGACTGCAAGTGCATGGGTGGACCGCAGTAGCCACATATCGTCCCTCTGCAATGAATACAAAAACCAGCTGGCCTGGTCTATGTTGGAAAAGTGACATTTTACCCATTTGCATCTGCTTCACTTTTTAAAGCCCTTACAATAGACTCAGGACTCAGAGAAAGCAACTCCCACCCACGAAGAGTCGCAAATAAATGAATTCTGGAGAAACTAAGGGAACTACGTGTGCTAACCTTAAGCTGAACAGATGCTGCCAAGTAAGACCCCGTAACTGTAATTCTGGAAAGAAATTGTATAAAATGGCTTTCTTACAAGCCTAAAGAAAAACGAACTTAAGGTATGTGAATACCCCCATGTTTTTTTCAAGGAAGAACACAATAAAACTGTGAACAGTATTACACAAAAGAGAGACTTCTTATCCCCGTTATCTCATTTGTTAGCTCAGTTCAGCCAGTCTCCTCTATTCCTGCTGCTGTAACTTAAAAGTTGTAGCTCCTGCACAACTTGACCGGAGTCTCATGTTAATATCCTTTGCAAATACAAGCGAAGGAGAAAAAAATATCTCAAACTTGGACTACATATTGACAAAATACATGGCTTAATGTCACAGAATTACAACTACACTGAAAAATGGATGTAGTATCTCTGTGCTCTGTGCCAGGTATGTTTATTTTTCACTCCTTTCCACAAAGGGGAAAGTATCCTGGTTAAATCAGGCTACGCTAAGGACAATGGAATCCACATCCTGTCTCAAAACTTGCCTCCAACGTCTTAAAACTCTACCACTTGGAATTTGTTTCTCCTTCTAAAAGGAGGCAAACATTTGCCCTTTATTACAGGATTTTGCAAAATTAAAGACTTCAGTCTGACTAAAAACAATTCTCATTTTTTAATTATTTCCTAAGGTGTTGAGTAAAACTATTCTGGGGATTGCTGGAAAGATACTGGCTTACATCTGTCATGTTTCAACAGTTTTGAACAGAAAAGGAAATATTAACATAACACATTTTGTCACATTAGATAATGTCATAACTAAACAATTTAGAACTTGCAAACAGAACACTCATACTGCATACATCTTCGCCAGTTTTTTCCAAAGTAATGAGCCTCAGCTGTGAAAGGGTCTTGCTTCATAAGGTATGTAATAAATCATTATCAGAGCGAACCCAGCTCCCATGTTGTTCGTTTTTGACTGCAATTATTAACACCTCATGGGATTTCACACAAATGTTTAGGTTAAGAAAATAGTTAAGTGTATTTTTATTCACGTGAAGTTATTACACACTATTAATGTTTCTTCTAGCCACTTGTGAATTTAAGCATCCTTTTTGCTTGAAGCAGAAGTCGCAACTAACACGCTCGGTGGGAAAACATGAGAGCAATTCTGCCCCTTCCTATTAGGCAATTTACCCTTGTAAACTCTTACTTTGCAGAAGGAGTTCTGTTTCTGAGGGGGGAGTAAAACAGCAGGCTCTAATAAGCAGTTAATTATCAGAGCAGAAAGTAAGCAGATTTTAGATCTGGATGGTAAAGTTCCAAAACAGCTTTGAAAAGTCAAGCTTATTTCTGGCACCCTGTAGCTGTATGTCAGAGTCAGGGCTGAGCAATGCGCCTACATATAATACTGCAGAAGAGAAAGTACTCACATGCCCTTGATCATCCAGCTCATTATTGGTAAGCTTCAGTTTGTCAAAGCTAATCACTTGTCTCATCCACGTCTCCCCGGAGGCAGGTGAATCAGGGTGAATATAAACACGAGGGGGTACTGGGGAGTCAGCATTACCAGCCACCATCCACTTGGAGCTATGATAAACATACCTATAAAAAGAAAACAAATACCTGTAACCCCAAATCTCAAAACAATTTAGCAGACCCATTCCATATTAATAATTTAGGGCCTATTCATACAGCAAGAACCCAGCAATTAATAAAACACGAAAGAACAATAAATTTGGGGGTTTTTGTAGTTTCAAGACATAGTTCTGGTATCTGCAAAAGTAAGGCTAAAACCCATGCTCTGATCGGTCCTTAGTTTTTTTAATAACAGTAACAGTCTTAACACTATCATCCACACTGAGCTCTAAGCTGGTGTCAGTTCACTGACTGCTACAGCTGTGCTCTGAATAGGCATCATCAGCAAACAGCAAAGACTCCAGTCTTTCATTTATCAACTAAGAGTAGTAATTCTATATTTGGGAGATTTAACATGTTGAGTCTAATAGAAGAGTCTATAAATAAAGCTATTGAAGCAAAAGAATATTATGATTGAAAAAAATAATGAAACTATGTCAAACTATGCTCTTGCTGTTTCTGCAAGACCATATTAATTGTCTCAAATAGTACTGCAGAAAGGCTTAAAAATGAAAAAAACACAGCCCATATTTCATTTGCTAGGTCAACGCTGACAAACTCATTTTCTAATAAAAATAGTGCCTGCTTCAGTAGAAAACTTATTTTGAAGGCAGATACTTAACAGGGCAATTTAAAAAGCACTAACTGAAAACTTCAAGGTATTTTTTTCAAGTACAGTAAAATTTCAGTACTTCAGCTGTATTTTTTAATAAAAAAAAGACCGACTTTATCAGATCATATGTTCGTATAATTCAGTTCCTTACTAGAAAAAGACTAACAACATCATTGGAAATGAAAACAAAATGATCCAATACATGCATCACTCTGTACAATTTATATCGACCTGTAAAACTAAGATGTGGAATAGTGGTGAAATTCTCTCCTGGAGACAAATTCACAACCCAAGGTCACACAGTCAACTGATGTAACATTTTTCATTTATTTTATATTTGTGGTCTATACAAAATACATGTATTCCCTACAGAAGTAAATAATGTCATAGATATATATAAAATATTTTGAGCATTAGCCCGACAGCTAAAGCGCCACAGTTTAAGCTTCCAAATATTTACAGGTTCCAATTTTGCTAGAAATCTACATGTAATTTTCTTCATTTCCACACAGTTTTGCTATCCATTATGACAGCTGAAGACCAGGCTCCATGTGACTGCTGTTGTACCTTTCAACTTTAAAGATCTGCAAGACAGTCTGTGAAGCCACATCAACAGCTGAAGTTACAAAGCTGAAGTTACATTCAGCAGTAAAAACCAAAAAATATTTAAAAAACCCAACAGATTGCGCAGCAAAAAGCGAAAATTGGCAACAAGTAAAACACATAAAGCATCAATATTTAGTGGGAAGAGTAAAGCTGTGGAACTAATCATGATTAGAGAAGTTTAAGTTTGCCACTGAAATATTACTGCCTTTCATACAGCTAGTGTTCAGTTACTTCAGTTATCTGGGCACCACGTACCATACTAAGCAGACAGCGCAGCTCAGCATGACTGTATTTTAAATCTAGTGAGGTTTAAAGAACTCATATTCAGTATACCTGGTTTTAATTGTTAATGTTAACATTTTTATTCAATTTGGGATAATTACCTTGCTTTTTCTGAGAATTAAGGAATTGCTCAGACCTTCTAGGAATTACATCTTTAGATTACTAAGGAAACACACATGTACAACACAAAGCTACAGGAGGGCTCTCGTTAGAGCTGCACTGCGCTGTTCTAAAGGAAAAAACATTTTTTCTCCACAGTGCAGTCAGAGTGCCTCCTTTAACTGTATGCACCAGACATTATCAGCACTGGTATCTGCACCTTGCCGAAAGCCACAACATCTAAAATGGTCCTAAGAAATATCTTATATACAACAGGAGAAAAGGACAAAATTGTGGTCAATGAGGTAAGGACACATAAAAACCATCAAGCAGTGTTTGCTTAGGAAAGAAGGCAGCATTCCTGCAGAACCAACCTTTAAGTCTTAGTCTGTTATATTCCTCGTTCTGCAGTTAAATCCACAGCGGTTTTCCCTACATTATACTAAGTATAGGGTTGAAACAATCAAACCAGCAATTTGTGAGGACCTGATTCTGCCTCCACTGAACTACTTGGCCAGGCTTTTCTTGGCTCCTATGGAGCGTGGGACTGCATCCTCAACTCGAGACCTACCAAAAATCCACAACTCAATCCAATAACTGCTGCGGGCCCATTCCTGCAAACATTTCTACAGGTCCAGTGGCTGCAGCAGAGTTGAAACATGATTGCCTTCAAAACAGTGAGAGTTTCAGCACATAATTCCTGCTCTTAAATATTTGAAGAACAAATACGTTTGCTCCTCACATTATCCTCCAGACAATAATGCCATTAATTCTTTAAAATACAGTAATTAGAAGTATCACCCTTTGTGAATCTAAGCAACCAAAACATAGGAGTGATAACCAGCTTTTAAATTAAATTATATAGCCAATTTGAAACATGAGGAAGAAAACTTGTATGTCATTAAATCAGACATAATTCCCATTAACGTTATTAATGTTGTTTAGTGCTAGATAAATGTGCCTTTTTGTATTTATTTGTTAACTAAAAATAACTCCCACTGGCGTGATGAGGAATAAAAAATGAAAACATTTCCTGACCGCACCATAGCTGTATTCTCTGAAAGCCAAAACCTGAGCATCTGCCCATAGTACACACACAACATCAGTTAAGCATATAAAGAGCTGTAAGAGAAATTTTAGTTGGCTTCGCATACTTTGTAAGATTTTATTTTTTATTTTAATTCCCTGGGATGAAAATAAGAATCTGAAGGAGAATTAAACATGACCTTTGCTAATTTATATAGTGTTAATGCTGTCTTCAACAGCCAAGCTCCCTATGGCTTGCATGGTATGGGTTTTGCCTTAAACTCACCGTACCTGTATCTTTTGTTATCCACTGGCACAATATCCATAGCAATGTAATATTGCTGATGTGGGTCTAAACCTGAGATCTTCACTCTCATTGCGGGAAACATCCGCCTGAACATGGAAAGAGAGAGGTCATTTTTAATATGAAACAGACTCGGGACTGGTTGTTTAGGAAAAGTAACCGCTTGGTGGGATTTTTCTCGTTCTTCCTTTTAGCCTAGAGAGTCCTTTTGGACGATTATAGTTACATGGCCATGAAATGGCCCATTCGATATGTCAAAACAGATTTCTAAAGTGCATTTACTCGAACAATGCTTCGTATGTTTGGGATACGCTTTGGGAGTACAGCTATTACCACATCATTTCAACTTTATTGTTAGACAGTAAATCACTTGGGTTTGAGACTTGACTTTAGCAGTATGCTCATTTAAAGCCAGTTTGAGATATTGCTTAAAAATCTATTTCTGGAGATGCGCAAATACCATCTCCACCCAGGCAAACAATAGTTACAGAAATGCAAACTGCCACTGAAGTTTCAAGTGGCAGCTGCAAGAGGTGTTATCATTTCTAGAGCAGCAAAAGAGAAAGCCAAACCTACGGTGATATGATTCTAGCCTTGCAAGGATGCAGTTATAAAAGGCAGCGTGCCATGCTGCAACCCAACAATATGGTCTTTATTGAGACAGGACTTCCTGTCTGCAACTTACTAAAGGTGAAGTGCAAGAGCTACTCTGTCTTTGAAAGGTATAGTAAAACTTCTTTATTGAAAGCAGAAACGAATCTACGAGGTAATTTCTTAAAAGAAAAGGAAAGAAAAAAAACAACCAACAACAAACGTTCAAGGTTTAGATTTTCTGCAGGGAAAACGGAGGAATTAACTGATGCAGTAGGTTCGACATCAAAATGGGCTTCTTAGCTGACGTTCGGCATGGCTTTTTTCAGGAAAGTAAATTCCTGAAGCCAAAAAAAAAGAAAATCCAAGAAATGTCCTAGTTATGAGCTAACTGCAAGCTAATGAAAGGTATTTCTCTGTATTTTATAAACCTTGAAAACCATTCCAGTTTATTATTTGCTGCTGCTCTAGGGAAAAAAATAAAAGAAGATAAAAAATACACATATAAATTAAAAGTCGTTACTGGGAAGAAAAAACCCATCTCCGTCATTTCTAAACAAAGTGGGGGGGGGGGGGGGTGTCAAAGCCGACTGCGGGTAACTAGTTCTCGCTGCTATTTCAGTGCACCTGTAAGATAAAACAGAAATTCCCCGACTGGACTCTCATAAGACAAATGTTGCTTTGTGCTGTTTAAGACTGCGTTTCAATCATTAATAAAGCCTCTCTGAGAACGCAGAGAGCAGCATATGGATTCAATAAAATATGTTTTTGTAATTTCTAATAAGTTCAGATACTTTTATGCTGCCCAGGTTTTTACCATGTGTATCCATTGGGAAGGGGAAAAGTTTCCCCTCAGGAGAACGCCGCGCTCCCAGAGCTCGCCCAAACGAACATGAAACCAGGAACGCCGAATGCCCCCGGTGCCCGTTTAACATTACCACCTCCTAAATCTGGAGGGTCCCCCGGGTTTCTGCACGCTCCCATGTGCCTGCCCGCCCCGGGAGAACTCCCGCGGGTGCCCGTTACCTTCCCGCCTTGGTGATGATCATCTCGGTGCCGATCTCGTGGAAGCGCTTCCAGAGCTCGGCGCCCTGCAGGTCCACCCGCGGCGCCTGCGGTGCGGCCAGCGGCGATCCGGGCCTCGAGCCCTTCGGGGAGCCGCCGGGGGAGGCGGGTGGGGAGGCCGCTGGGAAGCCCTCCTCGCAGCCGCCTGCGGAGACAGCGGAGGAAGCGAGAGAGGCAGGGGCAGCGCGGACCTCCCTACCGGGGGGCTTCCTCAATACCAGCCGTACCCCGCCGACCCGCCACCGCTCCCAGGAAACGGGCTGCGCCGACCCCGGGCCTGGGCCGCGGCCTTGCGAAGCGGGACTGGGGGCTACCCACGTACAGGGCGGCCGCGCCGGGACAGCCGGGGGGCGAGAGGGGCTCCCCAACGAGGGAGCACAGCGGCAAGCAGACCCCAGCGCTCCGCCGGGCCGTTCCGGGCACACCGCCGTCCCGGGCCGTGCCGAAGCGGTGGTGCGAGGCCGGCAGCGCATTTCGTTGGGGAGCGATTAGTGTGACCGCTGGCGGCCGCGGCCTTCTGCCCCGCAGCTGGAGATGCACCCCCGCCCGTATGCAGTAAATTACGGACTCACATATACATACATGAGCTATACATACATATATACACACACAGTTGCACAACGTATACATATATGCAGTGTAGAAGCGCTTCTCCCCTTCCTCGGCAACAAGCCCCAGCTGTTGCTCCACCGCGCTGCGGCATGGACCACCCGCCGGCACCCGCCCGCTCCCTCCCCCGGGGCCCCGGGATGCGCCAGCAGTTCAACCGGCATCGCCGGTGGTGGGGAGGGGGTGCTCACGCCGTGCGGCAGGATAGACTAGCGGGGAAGCCGGCGGTGAGCTGAGGGAACGGGCCTCCAGCCCGGCAGCGGGACAGCAGGCGCCCGCGGCGGCGGGGAGCGGGGTGGCACTCACCGGCGGGGGCGCGTACGGAGCAGCCCAGCTCCATGTCGCCGCAGGTCCTGCTGCCGGCAGCAGCCGGGGAGCTCTTGGCGCAGCAGCCGCTTCCCCCTTCGTCCTCCGCCGCCTCGTCCTCGCCGCCCAGCTTCCTCCGCTTCGGCTGCCGCGGCGGTGGTGGTGGCGGCGGCTGCTGCTTCTCGGCCCCGATGAGCGCCTCCACGGAGAAGGCGTGAGCCTTGAGGCTCATGGTGGTGCCGGGCGAGGACCGCCGCTTGTCGGCCATGCCCGCCCCCCTACAGCCCGCGCATCCAGGCGCGCCGCGGTCGCCGGCGCCGGCACCGCACCCGGCCGCCCGCCCGTCCTCCCGACCGCGCCGGCAAGGGGCTGGGGCTTTTCCTCGCCTTTCTTTTTAAATCCGAGTTATCAGCCAAGTTGTTGTTTTGTTTTGCTTTTTTTTTTTTTTGGGGGGGGGGGGGGGGGAGAGTCGATTTGGGTTGGCTTTTTTTAGAGGAAAAAAAATCTACTTCTTTCTGCAGATGCGCTTCTTCTCTCCCCCTCCTCCTCCTCCGCGTTCTGCCCCTTCTGATGGGCCAGGCAGGACTGACATGGGTAACAAACGCTCTGCGGACACAAATTAGGGCTTGTAATTGAAATTTGTTGCCTTGATCTGTCAGCACTTCCAGGCAGGAGACCGGTGGGAAGAACTCGCTCATTAGTGTCACTGCGGCGGCGGGGCCGGGCGGAGCCGCGGGGCGGGGGCTGACGCGGCCCCGCCGCCCGCAGCCCAATCAGCGCCGCCCCGGCCCCGGGGCTCCGGCCCCGCCGCCATACCTAGGGGCCCCCGCCGCGGCTCACGGGCGACCGGGAAGAGGGGGGAGCTCCGCTGTCCCGCGCAGTCCCGGTCCGAAACGGCCCCGCGCCCCCCGGCAGATGCGCCCCGCAATAAATGTTAATAGGGACACCCCACCTCCCTCTGGGACCGGGCTGGCCGGGAGCCCCAGATAACTCCAGAACGCAGAGAGAACGGGAAGCCCTCCCGGGGAGCTGCGTTTCGGTCGGGGAAACCGTTCTGACTTTAAAACAAAATGACGTTATGCCCTTCCTTGCTGTTAGGGATCAGTAATTATCAGTTGTGTTTAGCTATTGCACTCGGAGATTCGTCGTGTTGTCGTTATTCAAGCACCGGCTGCGGAGGGGGTTCAGCCACGCTCATAGCTCTCTCCAAACCCAGCCAATTAGAGGCTGAAGCGGCAATAAAAACAGAATTAAACCGAACCTTGTATGAGCATCCATACATCCACCCGCAGCAACCTTAATAATAATCATATTCAGGTGCATAGAATAGTTACTGGGAAAATACTTTCGTATCTTTCCAGTGAGTAAAACTATTAAAGAGTTGGAGCCAGATATTCTTTTCTTTGCATGCCCAGAGAAATTAAAAAGCTATTGAGATTTTTGTTGTGCTTCTTTTTTCATTTTTCTTTTGTTACGTTATATACTTCCCCCTCAACCCACCCCCACTTTTTTTCGCAGAACTAAATGGGGTAACATGCTCTGTTGAAGGAAACAATAGAAATCTTCCTTCTGCAAAAAAAAAAAGTCATGAGGCAATTTTCACGGTTTCGGGAAATGGGATCTCTTCTCTGTTTAGGGTAACAGACATGAGAGAAATTGGTGGTGTGCTCCGTCTGTGTTACAGCTTCGGAGGTCCCTGTCGAGTGGCACAGCTGAGATTTCTGATCGTAATCTAAAGAGGAAATAGCTGCCATTTAGGAGACGTAACCGTTTCCACTAGCGCAATTTACCTGTCCCTAAAATGCAAATATATTCCTCCTTTCAATGGCTGCTTCGTCAGAGAACCTGAGAAATGGACTGATTAATAAATACACCCTAGAGATAAACTATCCCTGCAGATAAGGTTATCGGGGTTAAAACTTAGATGTGGTTTCCAGGCGTAAAATATAGGTATGTGACAAAGAGATAACTGGTGGAAGAGGAGAGGGAAAAAAAAACACCCAAAAACCAAAAAACCCCAAAACAACAAAAAAAGAAAACAGAAAGAAAAAAAAATAAAAAAAAAAAAATAAAAAAGCGCACCCGCCAGAGGAGCACTAACTCTCTCCACATTGGAAGAGATGGTAATTTGTCTGAGAAAAATTCGTCACTACGAAAAAACTTCCCCTGCAGTGGCTGTCGTTCTGAATCGATAGGAGAGCAGAAAATGCCTGATGCCTGTCACCGACGAGCACTGCTGTGGAGCTAGTTTATCTTTACATTAAATCTGGGACATATTAACTGTTCCGTGGTCTAAAGTCTGTCTGCTCTGCCTGTTCAGCTGTGATTGAACCTGAAGGAAATCAGATGTGCGAGAGTGATCGAAACGTGCTAAGCTAGAGGATCGTGCAGGAGTTTAAACGCCGCCGCGGTGGGGATGAGATCGATAGGGAGAGGAAGGAAGGAAGGAAATGGATGGTATCTGTCCGAGGGCGCTCCGGCAGCCTCGCCGCCCGCCCATCTCCGACGGCAACTTCCGCGGCCGCGCTCCGGCCGCCCTCTGCCGCCGGGCCACCCGCGCCATCGCCACCGGTGCGACGGCTCCGGCGGTGCCCGCGGGAGCAGGTACCGACCCCCTCCACGTTGGCCCGGGGAGGCGCGGAGGAACGCGGGGGGAGGCGGAGGAGGGGGCGCCCGCGGGGGGCGCGGGGCTCTAGGCCGAGGCTGCGCTGCCGGCGGAGCGGGGTCGGCCCAGAGGCGGCTGCCTGGATCCGCCGGGGAGGACAACCTGCTCCGCGCCGCCGCCGGGCCCTCCGCGGGGCAGCGCAGCTTGACGCGCCAGTGGTGACGGGGCCGGAGCGACGGGGTCCCGGAGAAGCCTCTGGGCACAGGGCTGCGCGTCCTGCCCAGTTTTTATCCCTTTCCCTCCTTCTGCAGCCGACCGCCGCTCTTTCCCGCGAAGGAGACGCTGAACCCTTGCTCCGCACCGCTCCGCGGGGTGCGCAGCAGGTCCGTCCTGCGGATGGACAAATGGTCCGCATTATTTCTGCTGCGGGAGGGTGGGTGCTTGTTGTTGTTGTTGAATTATTCCCCCCCCCGCCCTTGCCAGATTTCTGTAGGTTGGTATGTGGCATGTTTTCATTTTTTGACTTTTTGAAACAACTGCGTGGATTTAAATTTATCGAACAACCTGTGATCCATATGTCTGTCCGATTAATTTTTTATGGGATGATGAAAGAGAGAAGACTCTCTATATATAGTGATCTGCTAATGGAATAATATATACATCCGAAACACCTTTCTGGAGTTACTTTTATTTCCGGACTTTAAAATACAGTCCGGGTTTTTAGGCAGTTGTTCGAGGCGCATATTTAGGCTTCCTGGGGGTAAAAAAAAAAATCAATATTTAAACCGTTTTCCACCAGAAAGACATTTCCCTGCGCTCCCGTCGCAAATCTCAGGGCATGGTTATGGCCGTGCTTCCCATTCACAGTATGATTTCTGAAAATCTTTTTCAACATTAAAGCCGGGTACCATCAGAGAGTAAAATATCCACAGGGTCCATTTCTCTTCAAAGACACGGTTTTCTGTAACTTCCCAGCAGGGAACCATAGAAGCGGTCACTAGAGAAAACGTATTTATATCATTTTCCGCTTCACACCCCCTCAACCCTTACAGTGAGCCTGATCGCTTCACCCTAAGGATGCGTGGTGTGCGCAGCTGAAGGCAGCAGGTAGCTGACGGAGACTAGTCAATGAAACATTATCAACGGGAGCAAAATTACAGATGCCGGTGAGAAAATCGCATGTAAACCCTGTTTCTGTGCATCCCGCGTGCACCTACGCCACTGCCTCTCTTCCTTGCTCTTTGCGGTTGCGGCTTAGAGGGAGGACCGAGGGTGCTGACTGTGACTTGTTACTTCCAACTTTCCTATAGCAGAGTGCACAGCAAGCCTGGAGCGACTCTCCCCGAGACACAGATCACATTCAAAACAGGCTCGAGAGAAGGCTAAGTGTGGCTTAATTTAAAAGAGGCAGGGAAGCCCCTTTCAGCCCCCATGGCCACGGCGGGGTATTACAGCCCTCCTGTCCCGCTCTGCCGGGGCCCCTCCAGCCATGCTTCTCTCGCCGCTTCCAGGCGGTCTGCAGCCTGGCGGAGGAAGTGGCATAAGACAGAAACAGCCCTCCAGAGCCGCGGAGGGGATCGCTTGCTTTTTCCCACGAAGGGGCCGGTTCCTGCCCGTGTGTTTCGCCGTCCGCGGGAGCGTAACGAACGCAACTCACAGCGAGGGGCGCAGGCGGCCCCGGCTCATCCAGCTCCGGGCCCAGGCCCGCGGAGCCCTGGCTACCCTGGTCTCGGCTCCCGGCACTCGACCCGTGAAACCGCCCGACGGGCTCAGCTCTGCGGCTGGGCTGGGACTGGAAGGAGAGGGGTCGGTTTCCCTGACACCTGAGACTGATTCCCCAGGCTCGAACTTGCCTGGCGGCTCCCAAAAGTAAGGGGCCGAGAGAGCCGACCCGGCCCTAGCCTCCAGGATTGGGGTGCGTACAGCATCCTGGTTCGTGCTCCTAGATCTAGACCCGAGAAAACGGAACCGGGCAGGGGAAGTGAGGGTAGCCCCTCACCGATCACAGCGCCGTTTGTCGGTGACCCAGTTAACACAGACCGCTGTAGCTATCGCGGGTCTCCCCGAAGCCGAACCCAATCTGCCAGGAGCACGGCCACGGGGGCGCGACGGCGGCCCTCAAACAGCCGCCGTGAGTCGAGTTAGTCGGTGCGGTGTGCCACGTTTTGATTCCACTTCAGCACTCCACGGGGTGACCACGCACCGAGGAGGTGAAAGGGTCGGGGCCTGCCCGACCCGTCCTCCGACGGGGCGCACGGTCCGCCGGCAACCGCGCATCATCCCCTGCGCGGCGGCTACAGGCTTTTCCACCCGCACTGCACCGAGACCCTCGGCCTGGCAGTCTGTGCCGTCCGGTGTCTCCGCAGCCTCAGGTCTCGTTTTAAAACTGGGGAAAAAAACATATTCGCTGCCCGTATACTGCTGCGGAGTATAAATAAGATCAACGTACAGAAATAAATGCGCAGCCAAGGGACAGGCTTTCCAGACGGGTCAAAATGCTGGGGAATCGCATTAAAGAACTGAAAACACAGTTTAAAGGCACCCGTGTGAAAATTATAAGTATTCTGAAGATTGCGTTTTATAACGCTTAAATTACTACCTTAATTTGGAAATACGCGGCCACGAGTATGAATATTTTTTAAGGAAATCTCCAGCCTTTAATGAGATGCTCCCACTTACGTTTACTGTTCGTTTCAGACAAACGATTTTTTAAAATAGCCTTTTCATTATTCCGTTCACAAAATAAACGTTTGCAAACATTACATGAGGGTTGAAGAAACCTCTGGCTTTACTTTTTTTATTGCTTTCCTATAAATTTAACTCGCATTTTCACTATTGTCTCAGGAAAAACATGAAAATAAGTATGGAATTAAATTAAGTTAGGTAGCCTTAAATCACTATAGTTTAGGGTAGAGCCACTAATTGGAAATATTTATGTTTGCGAGGCTGGGATTTCAGCAGTAAAAAGATACGGTATATCCCAGTTTTATCATAACGGGGATCTACGGGAACGTTTACATCATACCATTGTAAGAAATGATATGTAGTTAAACAGC